AAATATCAAAATCAAAATTAAATTCCTCCTCCTCCCTCCCTTCCCCCTCTCCTAACTTCGCTCAGTGCACTAGCAATGCTAAACCAACTGCATGTGTTAATACTATTTATAGTCCTTCGTTCTCTTCCAGTATCCTGGTCACGGATATTCACTGCTTATATCTCTTAAATTTTCATACTATTTCCGAAAATACTTCCAAAAATTACCTTAGAAATTGCTCAAAACTAGTTTTTTAGCGCCCAATACTTCTTATATCCGTTCGGCAAGGGGCTTTATCGTAGATCTAGGGAGGAATGCTTTGGACGAGGTGCTGGTGCTCAACACATGCATACCACGGGCTTGTAAAAATTTGCCCCGAAGTGGCTTCAATTGGGAGAAAGCGCTCAGCTGGTAATCCCTTCAGGAGACGAAACGAATGCCAGGATTCCGAGCAGGTTGCTCTGGGAGTCAAGCAGCACTGGCCAAAATAACTTGAATAAAAAACTGCCAGCTGTGTAAATGAGAATTAGACTACAAAATTAATATCAGTTCTCGGTATTCCGAGTTTCTCTTTTTCTTACGGAATTGAGCAGTTCATTAAAATGGGTACTATCAGTCCGTAGAAAAAAAAAACTAAAAATTACCCTTAAAAAAGTAAAATTCATAGGGCTGGGCAAGTGGGCCATGTTACTTGGTTTGTTAAAAATCGATGGATACACAGTATCAGTAAGTGATACCACGCAAAAATAAAATGATTACTTCAACATACCTGCGCAACCGACTACCGAAAGACGTTCAAGCTCAGGAGAGTACAGGAGCTCTGGGAATTTAATAGAATATCTCGCATGACTGCGCCCGAATCTCTCAGTAGTTCCATAGTGGTGTTTTGGAAGGTCTTGGCAAGAAAACACAGTCGCAAAATTCCAAGATTTCCTTTTAAAAGTTATTTGTGACTGAACTAATCTTGCCCAGGGTTACCCGCATTCAGCTGTTAGCCAACTTACTCTACCATGTACAAAGTGGCATTTTCAGATCGTGTATTATAGAAAGAAGATCATTTTATCAGTCCAATTAAGACACTGAGAAGCATAAATTATACACAACTGTTGAAGTTAGGCACGTTTTACCAAAATGAATCGCTAAAATAGGTACGTTTTACTGAAACTACGTTTACTAACAAGTATATTTTATTAAAATTAGTTACGTTTTACTTAAAAAAATTACTAAAATTTATTAAACTGAAGTTAGGTATGTTTTACTAAACGAAACGCGCAAATGCATGAACCACAGAAGGTCTTAAATGAGTGCTTTCCCTCCCCCTTCCCCGCTCCCTCCCTTTTCTCCGTCTCCTTTCCCTCCCCCGGGCAATGTGCCTATAGTTTCAGGCTACCAGCACGGAATCCCCGTCTCCGGTCTGGAACAAATCTAATCTATCTCTGCGCAGTATAGGGCTCTCTGTTGCAAGTGCTGGACAAAAATATATGCCTTATTTGTCTTAAATTAGGGTGCTCCAAAAGAAAATCTCCAAAAGTGCTCCAAAAAAAAACCGCAGCAAAACCACGTGAGGCCACAAAGTGCTTTCTAGCAAAGGCGAACGATTATCGAAGGAAGCCTGGGCGGTTACGGTGTGACGAGTAACTCATGTGAACGCAATATGCTGCTGCAGTATTCACCACTAAAAATGCCATCAGGATTGATCAGTCAGTAAGCTGAATAGTAGAAAAAAAAGGATTGGACTTCGGTGTCATGTATAAAAAGACATTTTACGATGCAGTGTCTCTGTGTTTCATCCCTTAGCTGTAAACATAGGCCGAATAATGCGTGAACAACAACGAATCGATTAAAAAAAGAATTCAGGAAATTTTTGAAGCAAACCTCCAGACGTCTGAGCAGCGTCCAGTTCTTCAGTGTGCTGAGTACCGGAAGGCAGCCACTCGGATAGACGACATCCCCTGCATCCATTTTCGAACTGTTACTCTGGTATTTTCGATTTCACTGAAATCAGGCCTGAATTATTGGACATAACACAGCCTCGATACCTAGCCGA